CAAAGGAGGAAAAACAAAAGCTGGAGGACTGACACTACTTGACTTCAAGATATAATATAAAGCTAATGTAATTAAGACTGTTGTATTGGTGAAAGAATGGACATATAGATCAATGGAACACTACAGAGAGCCCAGAAATAGATCTCCCATGAATATAGCTAACTAATCTTTGACAAAAGAGCAAATTCTAGGTACAGTGGAGCAAAGATAGTCTGCTCAACAAATGGTGCTGGAACAACTGGACATCAACCTGCAAAAAATGAATCTAGACACAGACATTACATCCTTCACAAAATTTAACTCAAAATGGGTCATACATCTAAATGTATAAGATAAAACTACAAAACTTTTGGAAAATAACATAGAAGAAAATCTAGATGACCTTGGATATGGGGATGCCTGTTTAGATACAAGACCAAAGACATGAAAAATATGAAAGAAAAAATTGATAAGCTAAATTTCATTAAAATTAAATACTTCCTTTCTACAAAAGACACTTGCAAGAGAAATACAATATAAGCCGTAGACTGAGGGAAAATATTTGCAAAAGGCTTATCTGATAAAGGACTGTTACCTAAAATAAATTTTTAAAAAATTCTGAAAACAATACATAAATGAACCCAATTTAAAAAATGGGAAAAAGTCTGGGGTACGTGGGTGGCTCAGTCAGTTAAGTGCCTGACTCTTGATTTCAGCTCAGGTCTTCATCTCAGGTAAGCTCTATGTTGGGCTCCATGCATGGAACCTACTTTAAAAAAAAAAGGAGTGGGGGGAGTCTTTAGTAGACACTTCACCAAAGTGCATATGCAGGTAGTAAATAAGCATATGAAAATATGCTCAACTTCATATATCATATGTCATTAAGGAATTGCAAATTAAAACAACAGTGAGATAACCTACACTCTTTTAGATTGGCCAAAATCCGAAACACCACTAAATGCTGGCAAGGATGTGGAGCAATAGCAACTTTTATTCTTTGCTTGTAGAAATGGAAAATGGTATGACCACTTTGGAGAACAGTTTGGTGGTTTCTTACAAAACTAAACATACTCTTACCATACAGTCCAGCCATTGCACTCCTTGGTATTTACTCAGAGAAGTTGAAAACATGTCCACACAAAAACCTGCACATGGATGTTTATAGCAGCTTTATTCACAGTTGCCCAGTCTTGCAACCAACCACAATGTTCTCCAGTAGGTGAATACATATATAAGCTATGGTTCATCCAAACAATGGTTTATTATTCGCTGCTAAAAAGAAATAGCTATCAAGCCATAAAAAGACATGCATATTACTTATGCATATGCTTAAATGCATATTATTAGGCGAAAGAAATACAATCTGAAAAGGCTACATACTTCATGATTCCAACTATATGACATTCTGGAAAAGGCAAAACTATAAAGACAGTAAAAGGGTCATTTATTTTCAGGGGGTAGGGGTAGGGGGATAAGGTGATAAATAGGTAGAGCATAAAGGATTTGGGGGGCAGTGAAGTTATTCTGTATGATACTATAATGGTGGATACATGTCATTATACATTTGCCAAAACCCATAGACGTACACCAGGAGTGAATGCTAATGTAAACTATGGACTTTGGGTAATTATGATGTATCCATGTAGGTTAATTGATTGAAACAAATGTACCACACTGGTGCTGGCTCTTGATAGTGGGAGAGGCCATTCGTATCTGCCAGTAGGGGGATACATGGGAAATCTCTGTACTTACCTCACAACTTAGCAGTCATCCTAAAATTGCTCTAATAAAGTATGTATGTATGAATATAATGTGTATATATATATATATATGTATATATGTACACACACACCCTCCAGATAATGCTCTGGTAGGAGCTCTGGTTTAGATAGACCCGTTCATTATCGTATTCAGAACTCAGATGCCCACAGCTATGAACAATACATGTAATATTTATTGACCATTAATTCTGTGCCAAATTCTAAGTTTTTTTGTAATAATAAAAGGGAAAAAATGTACATTAAAAGAAATAATACAGTTAACATAAACTATTTTTAATGATTTGGCTTATGTTTTCTCATTTTATGGTTTCTTTTGTATTGTTCAATATTTTGTATTACCCAATACTTTTTTAAAATTATGATTTTGATGCCCCAAATGGGAAGATTAAGTTAACATTGCCCTTTTTATGTATAGCTGAGACATATACAGTTGACCCTTGAACAATGTGGAGTTTAGGGGCACTGACTCCCCATGCCGTCAAAAATCCTTGTATAACTTTTGACTCCTCCAAAACTTAATAGCCTACTCTTGACTGGAAGCCTTACTAATAACATAAACGATCGGTTAACACATACTTTATATGTTATATGTATTATATACATATTGTATATTCTTATATAAAGATAGAGAAAGTAAAATATTGTTTAAAAAATCATAAGGAACAGAAAATAAATTTACAGTATTGTGCTGCAAAAAATCTATGCGTAAGTGGACCTGTGCAGTTCAAACCTGTGTTGTTCAGGGGTCAACTATATATCCAGGTTTTTTCTTCTTTCTCAAGATGCCTTTTTGGCTATTTGGGGTCTTCTGTAGTTCCACATGAAGTATAGGGTTTTGTTTTCTGTATCTGTAAAAAGAAACAACAAAAAAACACCATTGGATTTTTGATAAGGATTGCACTGAATCTGTAAATATCTTTGGGCAATATGGGCATTTTAGCAGTATTAATTCTTCTTATACCTAATGTTTCTTTTCTCTGCTTAGTCAAATCTGCTATTGAAGCTTTCCATTGAATTTTTAATTTCAGTCACTGTATTCTGCAGCTCTGTAGTTTCTGTTTTTTGTTGTGTGGTTTTTCCTTCTTTGTTGATCTCCTCATTTTGCTTATGCATTGTTTTCCTGATTTTGTTTAGTTGTCAGTGTGCTCTTACAGTCTTTTGAACTTAAGAAGATTATTCTGAATTGTTAGAGAATTCATACTACCATTTCTTTAGGGTCAGCTATTAGAGCTTTATCAGTCCCCTTGAGTGGTGTCATGTTTAGCTCACTATTTGTAATCCTTCTATCTTTGTGTTGGTATCTACGCATTTGAATAAGCGGTCTTTTCTTCCAGATTTTAGGTTCACTTTGGTAGGGAGAGACAGGTCAGCTTGAGGTATTAGTTGGGTCAGCTGATAGTGTCCATGGGAGGGCTGGCCTTGCTAGCAGAGCCTTTAGTTGGGTGAGGCCATTGTCAGTGCTCTGAGGTGGGAATGGGGTTGTTGCTGGCTGGGCTCTGTGGTTGGGTGGGTCTCTTGGCTGTGCTACACATTCAAGTAGGGCTACTCGTCAGGCAGGACTGCTGGCTATCCTCCACCATCAGGTGGGGCCGCTAGCTGGGCTCTGCGATCGCTTCTGGTCAGGCTGTGCTCCATGACCGTGATGGTGCCACTGGCTGACTCCACATTCAGGCAGGGCCACAGCTGACTCCCTGTTCAGGTAGACCCATGGGCCGGGCCTTGCCATTAGGTGGGGCCTGAGGCTCTGCCCCGAAGTTGAATGGAGCCTCAGACTGAGCTCTATCATTAGGTTAGGCCATTGGCTATGCTCCACTGTCACAGTAGGCTGCTGGCTAGATTCTCTGGTTGGGCTAGACCTCCAGCTGTACAGTTGAGTGGGGTTGAAGACTGTGCTCTGTGGTCCTTTGGGGTTGCTTTCTAAGCTCCCTGGTTAGGTGGGACTGCAGGCTATGCTCCACCTTTGGGTGTGTCACTGGCTGGGCTCAACCACTGGGAAGATTGTAAGCTTGGCTCTATGATGGGCAGTTCCACTGGTCAGGCTTAGAGGCTGCCCAGGGTCTCTCTTCAGACTCTCTTCAGGCTCAACAGTTGGGCAGGGCTGGTGGCTTGGCTCTCTGCCTGAGCAGGGCTGTAGGAAGGGCTCCATGGCTGTCTGGGTTCTCTGGCCAGGCTTCCTGTTGGGGCAGGACTGGAGGCAATGTTTAATAGTTGGGTGAGGTTGCAATTTTACCCCCCTGCCCAGGTCAGCCAAAGGATGTGCAAGGGGAACATTTTATTGAAAGGAAAAATATTCTTAATTTCTATGCACACTCTCCAGGGTTACTGAGAATTTGGGGGGTGGGAATTGCAAACAGAAAAATAGCCATAAGTGTGCAGAGATGACCATGTGAGACTGTCCATCATCACAGTTTCTAATATTAAAAAAGTAGAAACCATCTAAAGAGTCATTAATAGGAAATTAGTTGGACACACTGAGATTAATTTAAAAAATGGAGTACTATTTTTGGTAATTTTAAAAATGAAGCAAATTTGTTAAATAGTAGTGATATAACAGTAATAATTATATTGATAGCTGAAATACAGATTGCTTTCCAATTGCTAGGTGATGTGATAAGTGCTTACTGTATCATATTTTATCCTCAAAATAACCCTATGAGGAAGGTGCTATCCCCATTTTACAGATAGGCAAGGGTTAAAAAGATGAAGTAAGGGCGCCTGGGTGGCTCAGTTGGTTAAGCAACTGCCTTCAGCTCCGGTCATGATCCTGGAGTCCTGGGATCGAGTCCCACATCGGGCTCCCTGCTCAGCGAGGAGCCTGCTTCTCCCTCTGACCCTCCCCCCTCTCATGTACTCTCTCTCATTCTCGCTCTCTCAAATAAATAAATAAATCTTTAAAAAAAAAGATGAAGTAATTTGCCTGATTTAATACAGTGCTGCATGGAGGAGATGATATGTACGCATACTCAGTGCAATTACAAATCCCATGTGCATTACTGGTACTGATGGGATAGATGCAACACCACATATTAGGTTTATAAAGCAGCAAGTTAAGGAATATTCTGTATTGTGGGGCCACTTTGGGAAAAAGTGTGTGTAAGTTTGAAAGGTGGAAGTATACATAGCACAGGAGGTAGAAAGGGGGAGGAAAACTAAAATTACTGAGTAGTACATACCTAACAATACCAAAAGCTTTGCAAATTATAGGATAGAAATATGATTTAATATCCTCTTTTGTCTTAGGGAAAACCCCCAGATACTCTCAAAAAGAAGTGAAAGGAGAACTCAAGGATACAAGTTTGCAGGTAAACTCTTTATTTGTGCACAGCATATTTTTCTGCTCTAGTCTTAGAAGGGCTTCCCCAATCTGATCATCTTGGTGGATGACAGATCTGCTGTCACAAATTCCGTCTAGAAAAATTACATTTGGTTCTGAACAGGAACCAGAGAGAGATGTTGAGATTGCAGCATTGATAATGGCTAGTTCAGAAGAGCTGAGAGAATTTTGTTGATCTGCCAAGAGAAAGAATGGTGGGGTGGGGAGAGAGGAAGCTTCCCCCGCCCCTAATATGGGTGGAGGGGAGAGACTTGAAGGGATTTATGGCCCTGGCCTCACAGAGAAAATAGTATTCACAACTCAAAGTGCTCATTAAGTTGCTGAAGTAAAAAGAGCTTGGGAACTCCTCACATGAGGAAGCAGCAGGATGCTGACAGTAACAGTCGGTGGATGGATGTAAGTATTCAGCTACTGGGAAGCAACTGAATCTTTGAAAAGAGGCTCATGATTAGAGCCCAGCAGTTTTGACACACTGCAATCAAGCTGTAAAGAAACACAGCTTAGTAGGGGATAAGCTTGTCAAAAGAATAAAACCAAGTACATTCAGGTAGAGCTGAGATAGGAAGCTTTTGGAAAGAGAAAAACAAATTAACCAAACTAATTTCAGACAGCATTGTTTTCACTTGATTCAACTATTTGAGATGAATAAATATCCTTACCCTGGAGGGGTAAAAATAAAACTACTTATAGGAAACAAAATGCCCTAAAGAAAATCTCTCCCAAATTAGAGATGACAAGGTAAATCCTTGTGGAAAAATAAGGAATGAAATAGTCTCAAAGTGATTTTTTTAACCATAAGTAATCAACTGTATTGTTTTTAGGCAAGATATATTTGTTGTCTAATAGTTCAATTCAAAATCTTCTATCTCTGACAAAGAAAAATATATTTCTGACTATGGAAATAAGCACATTACTACATGAGCTGAGCTGTTATGATTAACACCAACTCAATAATAGTCATTAAAGCTTATTGAGTGTTTACAATGTGGCCAGCAATATTCTAAGTGCTTTATTCACATTCATTTATTTTGTCCTCACAAAAAGACTAAAAGCTAAGACCTGTAATTCGCTCCTGGCTGAAAAGGAAGCACTGAGGCCCCAGTTAGTTAAGTAATTTACCCAGGATTATGCAGCTAGTACTATTAGAACCAAGATTTTCACTGAGGCAGTCTAGCTCCAGAATCTGGGCTCTGGGTCACTACGCTGCACTACCCTAATAGGTAATTGATAGTGAATTGGGTATTATCAATATCTGCTGGACTCCCTATAATAGCCAAATGCTAGAAATCGCTCTAAAAACCAAAACCAAAAACAAAAACAAAACTGCTCAGCAGTTCTGCTTCTCCCTTTCCCTCTGCCCCTTGCCCTGTTCCTGCTCATGCTCTTGCTCTCGTTCTCTCTCTCAAATAAATAAAACCTTTTTTAAAAAATTCTTTGAAAAATTACTTTTATTAAAAGAAAGGATTAAAAAAAAGGATTTTGAAGGCAAACTCTAGTATACTTTTGTTTCTATATGGATTTTTAATTTTTTTCTTTAAAAAGAATGAGTTTCTGTTTTCTATTTTATCAGTGTTTATTATTAGGATAATAATTTTACACATTAATTCATAGCAATCTAGGTAATGGGTGTCTAGCTTGATTTGTTACTTATAGAGTTTATACTCACCTGAATGGGTTTTCCTGGAATATTCTATTTGAAGCTGCTTGCTTAGTGGTATTTACCTGTCTTCTTTCTTGGGAAATTAAGAACTGAACAAACTTTGAATTACCTTCACAGCTGCTTTGTACTCTATGTTTGTCTTAACCTCTAGTTCAGAACTAAAGGATGATTTACTGAGGAAATATTTGCCTCAGATGAGACAATTTAGACTGCTCCATTTCCACATTTGGATAGGACATGTGGTTGCTCAAATATAAAAGTAACAACCTTAAACTTGTAGGTAGTGCTACATTCCTGGATGGAGACCAGGTCTCTGAATCTTAGTATGTGAAGTGCTTACCACATAATAGACACTCAGAGTTATTTGTTGACCTTTCAAGGAATTATTTCTTTTGTTTTCCCACAATCCTGGAAAGTAGCTTCTGGTACTGTATCAAATTTGGAAGTGAAGAAACTGAGTCATACAGAAGTTGTTTTGCCCAAGGTCAGAAAATTTAGTAAGTGGAGGATTATATAATGAAAGAGAAATTTTCTGGTCAAAATTTACTGCAACTTCCATTATACCTATCCAGAAAATCATTCTTTTATCATTCTTTTTGAAGAACTATTTGCATTGAGAGAACTTCTTTCCTTTTTTAATAAAGATTTTATTTATTTATTTATTTATTTAAATTATTTATTTATGAGAGAGAGAGAGAGAGAGAGAGAGTGCAGGAGCTGGGAAAGGGGCAGAGGGAGAAGGAGAGATAGAGAGAGACTCTTGAGCAGACTTCGCACTGAGCACTGAGCCCGAGGTGGGGCAGATCCCATGACCCTGAGATCATGACCTGAGCGGAAACCAAGAATTGGACACTTAATCAACTGAGAGAACTGCTTTCTAAAAAGTTCTGATACATTGTAAATATCCATAGATGCTTGCCATGTTTATTCTATTGCTCAGGAAAGTAACCCCACAGAGTGAGTACCGCTTGCTAGCCTGAAAAGGAGAAGGGTTCCAGGCTCTAATCCATTCCCTGCCAATATTGACTTACTAAGAGACCCCACAAAGCTCACTTAACCTCTCTGAATCTCTGTTTTCTTCATCTGTAACACTGTGATGCTAATAAGCACTGAACTTGATATAAGGAGTAATGGATAAAAATTCTTAAAAAATCTTTGCAGAGATGCCTGGGTGGCTCAGCTGGTTAAGCGTCTGCTTTCGGCTCAGGTCATGATCCTAGCTAGGATCCTGGGATCAAGTCCGCATCGGGCTCCTTGCTCAGCAGGGAGCCTGCTTCTCCCTCTGCCTGCCGCGCCCTGTGCTTATGCTCGCTCTCTGACAAATACATAAAATCTAAAAAAAAAAAAAAAAAGTATTTGCAAATTTGGCATCCAACATAAATTTAAAACTCCAGCTTCTTATTAAACTTTCTTGTTCTTTGCCTAGTAGTTCTGTGGTCTACATGGTTTTGGATTTTAAAAAACCTGTTTCTTTTCAAAGAAAATGTTTCTTGCTTATAATTTTTATAAATTATGGAGCATGATAATCGAACAAACGCATTAAGGAGTACTACATCTAAATATCATTATCTGTCCTAGGAAACATTATGATATTAAAATACAAGCCTGGTTCTATGTTTTTTGATGTGATGATTTTTGTTCAATAGGTATCAAATTAACACATATCTAGGCCATTGCTATGATAACAGAGTGTTTTTGCTGTGAATGCAGAATAATAGGTTGTAATCTCTTACTAATTACTTCTAAGGATTATATAGCTACCCTGGGGCTGGAGTATCTTTCACACTTACCCTGGTTGGCAAATTACTTAGCTCTTGTGCTAGGGATGCTAGGAAGGCTTACCTGTTGGGGAGTCTAGGGAGACCTTAATTAAAGTCAATTGAGCTTGTCTGTGTGTCTTTGATACTAAGGGAAATATACTGATGAGCTCCCTTTAGAGACTGTATCTGTGCTGCTTCTCACTGCCGTTTCAGTACTGACTTTTGCTGATTTTCAAGGAAGCCACCAATATCGCCTTTAGAAAGTCTGTCCACAGTAATCTTTCTCTCAATAACTAAGAAGCTCAAGGGGTTTGGAGGGAAGGAACTAACTGGATATAAATAGTCATTGAAGGCTTCATCTTAAGTTGCACTTCATTTTTGCATTGCCTTTTCTCCTTTCCTTTGCCTTTCTTCATCTCTTATTACAGTCTTTGGTTTAAAATCTAGTTTGTCTGATGTAAGTATGGCTACTCCAGGTTTCTTTTGATGTTCATTAGCATGATAGGTGATCCTCCACCCCCTCACTTTCAATCTGGAGGTGTCATTGGGTCTCAAATGAGTTTCTTGTAAGCAGCATATCAGTGGGTCTTGTTTTTTTTTTCCATTCTAATACCCTGTGTCTTTTGATTGGACATTGAGTCCATTTACATTCAGAGTAATTATTGATAGATATGAATTTAGTGCCATTGTATTATCTGTAAAGTCATTGTCCCTGTAGATTGTTTCTGTTCCTTTATAGTCTTTGTTGCTTTTGGTCCTCTTTTTCCCATTCAAAGGGTCCCCTTTAATATTTCTTGCAGGGCTGGTTTAGGGTTCACAGACTCCTTTAGCTTTTGCTTGTCTTGGATACTCTTTATGTCTCCTTCTATTCTGAATGGAATGACAGCCTTATTGAATTTAGTATTCTTGGCTGCATATTTTTCCCATTTAGCACATTGAAGATATCATGCCACTTTCTTCTGGCCTGCCAAATATCTGTGGACAGGTCTGCTGCTAACCTTATGTGTTTACCCTTGTAGATTAAGGATTTTGTCTCCTGAGCTGCTTTCAGAATTTTCTCTTTATCTTTGTATTTTGCAAGTTTCACTATGGAACTTTTTGGTGTTGACCTATTTTTGTTGATTTTGAGGGGAGTTCTTTGTGCCTCTTGGACTTGAATGCCTATTTCCTTCCCCAGATTAGGAAAGTTCTCAACTATTATTTGCTCAAATAAACCTTCTGCTCCCTTTCCCCTGCTCTTCTTCTGAGACTCCTATGATATGGATATTATTGTGCTTTGCAGAATTGCTGAATTCCATAAGTCTATATTTGTGATCTAATAGTTATCTTTCCCTCTGCTTTTCTGCTTGATCATTTTCCATAATTTTATCTTCAATATCACCTGTTCATTCCTCTGCTTCTTCAATCGTCATTGTGATTACATCTAGTCAGTTTTGCATCTTAGTTATAGCATTTTTTATTTTGACCTGACTAATTTTTAGGTCTTTTATCTCTGCAGTCAGAGTTTCTCTGGTGTGTTCTATGCTTCTTTGAAACCCAGCTAGTATT